TAAACACTTTTTTTTTTTTTGTTCATTTGTCTAAGCTGCCATTGAATGTTACCTGAGATGACCATGTATCAAAAATGTCAACAAAATTAACATTTTTAAAGTTCAAAATAGATATCATTATGTATATTAACTTACTGAAATTTTGTATCTATTGAAATGAAAAATTGTTTTATAATTAAAAGCGTGTCCATTAAGTCACAAGTAGGTCATATGAAACACTTGTTGACAGACTAGACAGACAACAAATGTGTATATATGACTATTCCATGCAAATGTTTTGTTGTTTTTGTTTTGTTTTTTGCTTTAATAACTAACAGTTGAAATTACATTCTTGTAACTATTACTGATACATGTGTTAAATAGAACTATTTGTGTAGTGTCATGAGAGCAACTTGTAATGTACAGTGTTTGATTGATGGCTAGAAAAAAAAGCTCTATAGTTGTATGTAGAATATTCAAGTGTTGAATAGGTTTTTAGTGCACTAGAAGGGGCAACATGCCAAGTTTCACTTAAAAGCTTTGAAAAATTCTTATGTCATTAGTCAAAGCCACACAAAAAAAGACTACTTTAATGACAGGATTCATTATAAGTCTGTATTTTTGATAGAATATAAGCAGTTCTTTATAATGGCTTTTTTTTTTTTAAAGTATAAAATGTTTTTCAAAACACAATGTAGAACAATAAGCAATCTTGTTTGTTTTTGGTTGAAAAGGTTTTAAATCTTTGATGTAGTTTTTCATGTCAAAGATGTAATGGCAGTTTCAACTTAAATTTGAGTTGAGCATTCACTAGATTATTATAAAATTGTGGCCACACAAGTGAATTATCAGCTTTAATTTGTTGCAGCCTGTTGTGTGGAATAGTTTTCTAGACACTTGTGTATACAAGTTTGAGATAGGGTAGCTATAAGTGGATTAGGTGACTGACACATTTTATGGGTAACACAAGTGTGAGTATGAGGGGCATTGTCCATGAGATATTAATAGTATGTGCGGTAACTCAAGGATACTTGTATCCTGTGGATCACTCTCACTATGCAGGCTACTAAAACACAGTCTAAACTTACTGGGTTCATTACACTCAAGTCATTAACTAGTGTGATTGTCAATGATGTCAGCTTAGAAAAACTTCAGTGGACCCTTTTTTTTCTCTCTTGAACAACTCGACACTATTTTCTTCTACCTTGTTGTCCTAGCCTAGAACTGTCACATTTAGTCCCAGCACTGTCTGTGTGTATCTCACAGCCCATCAGATATCTCCATAGAATTTGCTCTTGTGCTTTTTTGTTTCATTGAATTCAAATCATATTTTGTTTTGGGGCATAAGGCCTATTAAAGTGTATTGAGCAGATAGACTTTTATACCTGCAGCATCAAGTGTGTTTACAGTAGTTCCAGTATGGATGAGTTCTGAATGAAAGGCTGTTATGATGTAGATCATGGGAATTCAAATGATCAGGTAAACATTATTAGACTTTAGCATTGTGTTCTACACAAATTAAATGGTTTCAACTTACTTTGTAGTTTTGCCTTGTTTGTTTTAAAGCTAGTTTAGTCCTGTGTTGTTTTATTGGAGTCACTTGTAGCTTAAATTGTTTGCCCTCTTAAGTCTTAGATCATTTAGGGCATCATTTAAAGATTACAAAATACCTCAACGAATCAGATGCATTTGTTAATTTTAATTTACACCGCTTGTAAAAACTTTTTTTTTGTACTGATTTCTAATGGATGAAAAATACAAATCAAGTCATTAAAAGATTTTACTGTAAATATCTAGTTTCTACATTCATGAAAATGACTGAGGCAAATTAATCCTTTATGAAGATATAAACTTAAAATAGGCCTAATAGTGGCCTACATTTCCAAAGAAAATTGTTTCGAAGATTTGCAACCTATTGTGCATGACTTTAAATTATACTGTTTTTGTGGTTAATTATAGAGATGGGAAACGAACCCAACCCGAACTTTAAAACTGATCGGTACGAACCGAACGAACTGTATTAAAGATTTTGCAATTTTTTACTAAGAAAAATATTCAGTGAGATGATTTGACAGTTATTTTTTAATTTTTGGAAACTCAGCTGGATCATTTTGGATCTTCTGCTTTTGATTTGCCTTGAACGGTAGCCTACCGTCACATTGACTATTTGTGTGTTCATGAAATGGGAGAGTCGATGAAACGACAAGTAGACTCTAAATGTAGAAATTACCAGGAAAAGTTGGACAGAGCTTTGCCTTTGCTTTTATAGGGTATAAATATGTTTGTGGCTGATTTTAAAGAACGTAACTTACAACAGCATTATGAAATCAAAAACTAAACGACTATGGTGGCATTCTTAGTAGAGTTCCATGGTTTGAGCCACCATGAAAAGAAACGCCTATAGATTGGAGGATTGACGAGACTATTTATCAAGAAGGGACACGACAATGAGTCGGCGGTAAGGGCATGGTACAGAGTTCGTCACATTTTACGTAGTGAAATGAAGCCTTTTTTTCGACCACGGAGAATGCTTTAGAGGGGTTTACTATCAGTGATGGAAGAAATATGACATGAAAATAAAAATGCTGTTGAAGCCGTCACTCTTTTTTTGAATGACAATTAGAAATCTCAATTAAAAACTAAGAGAACTAAAAAGCAGAGTTGAAAATGTTTACCATTAACGCCGACATATCTGATAGGGGGCTCAACTCTTGATATTTGCTCGCAGTACGAAAAGCAATGTTTAAATCACAGAAAAGATTTCTGCTATGAGGAACATGCATTAGGACCACCACTGGCAAAGACCTGTTCAAAGAAGTTTCAGACATCATGGAGGAGGAGGCTTCTTTCCTTAGGGAGAAATTAGTGGAAGTGAATACTAATACCGCCAGAAGTATGACATAGCAAACTAGCAGCAAGAAAAAAATTGTCAAGTCAAACGGAACCTCTGTGGCAAGAAGCTGAATCAGGCTGACATAAGCACTTTCTAAATGAAACTAGACCGGCGGCGTATGTTTTGCAGGGCCGGCCTTAGGCCACTGCAATCTATGCAACCGCAGTGGGCCCGCACTTTCATAGGACCCGCGCTTTTTCTAGGTGTATAAATTATTAAATTAAATCATTTTATAACTTATGACAGATTTCCCGCGGCGTTCTGTCGATTAACCGGGAGCTCCTGGAAATCTCCTGAAATGTAAAATTTACGAAAAAGCCCTGGAAATATCCGGAAATTATTAAAATCTTTTGAAAACTCATACAAATATCCCGAAATATGTAGACAAAAATTGTCATTTTAGTGTGTCATTCAATATGAAAAACGCCAATCCTATGCGCGACAGAAAAAAAAAACAACGGCATTATGCAATGCCCGTAATTGTGGAATCTAGTGAAAGAAGCTCTTCGAGGCTTAAACAAATGAAGAATTACTCGAGGTCAACAATTCTCGTAGATAGATTGAAACATTTGGTAATTCTTGCTATTGAGCGTGATCTATGTAGGAAACAGAATTCTTGTGATATTCTGTATGGCTTCGCTACACGCCAGACTAAGCTCGAGTAGTAATTCTGTGCGTAGTTAAGAATGAATAAAATGCAAAGACAAATATATTTTCTGATACACACTCTTAATTTTCACGTATTATCCGTATCCCTTTTCTTCCCTTCCCAAACTTGGCCCCGCGAAATCCGTTTCGCGTTGTGCCCACAATGGTTAAGTCAGGTCTTGTTATTTTACCTTAAAATATACGGAAATATATAGACAAAAATTGTCGTTTTGGGGTGTCATTCAATATGGAAAATGCCAATCCTACGCGCTATAAATAAAAACGGCATCATGCATTAGCCTTAATTGTGTAATCTGGTGAAAGAAGCTTCTCGCGCCTCAAACTAATGAAGAAATACTTGAGGTCAACAATTCTCAAAGATAGATTGAAACATCTGGTAATTCTTGCTATTGAGCGTGATCTATGTAGGAAACATAATTATTATGATATACTGTATGACTTTGCTACACGCAAGGCACGTAAAGTAATTTTGTACGTAGTAAAGAATGAATAAAATGCATAGTCGAAATTTTTTTTTTTTATAATACAAACTTACATTTCACTTATTATCCGCTTCCCTAGCCAAACTTGGCTACGCGAAATCCTTTTCGCATTGGGCCCCACAATTGTTAAGTCCGGCCCTGTTATTTAATGTTTGTAAAATGTTTATGTTTCGGATGTTCCTTCAGAGTAGATGATAGTTTACTTCCTAGTCCAAACCTCCCGCAGGACGTAGGGGGGTGGGAGCGGGCAGGGTTTGACAGTCCAGCGCGCAGCCATCCGTGTGAATACCCACTTGTTCTCCCCCCCCCCCCTTTCTTGTTTTTTCGTGGGGTGACTATCCGCAGAAATAAGAGAGTGATCTTTCCTTTACTTCTTCTACTCGTCCAAACTATTGAGGGAAGAGGAGAATTATATATATATAGACAGATAGATGGATTGTAACTCTTCGTTTAGCAGGCGGGGAATTGGGTGAAACCATTGTGACGTAATCGCCCCACAGACGACCATCTAGATTCAGTGCTTCAACTTGGTGCAGTGAGATCTTCAGAAGTTGGTTTTGGACAAACTTTTCTACATCCCATGAATGAATGTAAATATTATATGCACGTGAGAGGCGATTGTGGCTGAGTGGTAAAGCGCTTGGCTTGCAATCCGAGGGGTCCCAGGTTTTAATCCTGGTAAAGACTTTTAATTGCGGGATCTTGAGGTCACCTCTGAGTCCACCAAGCCCTAATGGGTTACTGACGTTAGTAGGAGGAAGTAAAGGCGGTTGGTCATTGTGATGGTTACATGACATTATTACAATGTTAAACTCAATTGCTCCATTACAATGTTAAACTCAATTGCTCCAACATAAATTAATTTGTCATTCTTTTTTAGTTTCTTCAGAAGAATTTTGAAAACTTTTTTCAAAGTACTGTTGATAATAGCTATTTGAAATGCATTAGATTAGAATGCTAAAATAAAGATAAAAGAATCCAATTATAAAAAATCCATTTTTATTCAATGGTCAAAACTTAATTTATTTGAACATTGCTTATGTATTCATCAATGTATATTCATCAATAAAGAAAAAAATTGTTAGGTGACTTAGACAAAATAATAGGTAAGACTAAAGATGTTTACAGCAAGTTAGATGAGTCCGGCCAAATAACAGAGTTCTGAGCCACCACAACCAATGGGACAAGTAAGATTGAATGTTCTCACATTGAATACACAGACAATAATGAGTAAATGTACGGTCAATGTTCAGATGCCCAGGCACTCTCCATTGTAGATGTCCCAACACTTCACATTAACATGATGGATGAAGAACTCTAAAATAATTTATTTAAGAGAATGATTACTCATTACTGCAAGAGTTTAGCAAAGAACATCTTTCCATCACTCTGTATCACTCTGCTAGTATCTGTACTTCAAAAACTTCACTCAACCAAAAAACATCTTTCCATCACTCTGTATCACTCTGCTAGTATCTGTACTTCAAAAACTTCACTCAACCAAAAAACATCTTTCCATCACTCTGTATCACTCTGCTAAGTATCTGCACTTCAAAAACTTCACTCAATAAAAATACCAGTATGTGAAGAAACATTCAAAATTTTCCCTTAGGGCTAAGGAGTTTGTTATCATCCCTGACTTTTTTTTTGTACATATGAAGTCAATGCAGATGGAGAAACACAACTTCTGACTCCAATGTTTATTTTGCATCTAGACATATGCCATTCAGAAGAATCCAGGAGTTCCTTATGAATGGTGATAAGTCAGGACAGTCTAGGCTGACCTAATACATTTCTTTATATTTTTTCTCAAATCTTATGTTAAATAAATAAATAAATCAGGACAACACAAGAGATAACTTCATCCTGTTCTTATTGCAGGCGAGAAAATAAATTAACTTCCAATCTAATCAATACACATTCAACTCATTACACAAGAGCAATTCAAAGTGATTCATTCAACAGGAGGGCTTACACTACATACATGGGAGTTTGGAGAGAAGAGCTAATACAAGATACAGTGAAATCAACATAAATATACACAATTAGTTCAGTTCCAATAAATCTCTGCACAAAGAAAAGAAAAAAAACTCAAAAGGTAGACCTGCCATCCATCAACACATTTTCTCTGTTGAAACAGCATTCATACATCCAATATAGAAAGAGGGAGTGATGGAATCAATAATAATAAAATCAATACATCTGTGAAGACTAATATATGCTATGTCAATATTTATAGTCCTGATAAATGTACAACATTTGTTAATCACTTGAAAATAAAACACGATTACATAATACAGTCATTGAAATGTTGTTTTCAGCTTCATAGGAAATAACTAGAACATTCAAGGAAAACACACACACACAAAGGTTTTGTAAATAGACATGTCAATAGTTTGTGTGTCAACTTTGGGTATTTCATAAGCATGGAGAAATGAACTAGAGGTCTGTGAGATGAAACATGGGATTCTTTCACACAGTCACAACAAACTGATGATTAGAAATGTCAGGATGGGATGGCTACATCAGCCTCTGGAATAGAAGGACAAGCACTTTGCACAGCATTGTCCAATGGCTTGTGATTCTCTTGAACAGGTTGAGGATCCTCAATTGTAGCAGGATGGACCTCTTGTTCAAAGTCATCTATAGCCTCTTGCCCACTGTCCTCCCCTGCTGTATCACAGCTGTTGGCTGCCTCATTTCTGTCCTCCTCATCAATAGCCAGCTCCTCTTCTTCTTCATCCTCATCTTCTTCCTCGTCCTCTCCATCTTCATCACCTTCTTCTTCATCCTCATCCTCAATATTTTCCTCATCCTCATCTTTCTCCTCCTCTTCCTCATCATTTCCAATCTCCATTTCTATTTCCTCTTGGGGCTCTGAGGCAATGACCACAACATCATCCTCCTCATCAGACTCAACTCTATCAACAAGCTCAGACTTGGGTGCTGCAGCTGGCACTTCTTTCTCTGGCTGCACTCCCACAGCATCAGCCCTCTTCTCTGCCTCTAGCTTCCTTTCCTTAGAGCTTGCAGCCACAGCCTCCACAACATCTGAAATGGCTTTCTCCGCAGCAGCTTGCACACTGGGTGAGCAGGGAGGGCTCGTGTCAAAGACCTTGTCTTTTGGTTCCTTCTTTATTTTATCTGGGTCAATGGGGGTGTCTGCTGAACCAGTCTTAGAAGGGGAGCCAACCAAGGCCACGCTGTTGCCCTCCCTACAGCTGAAACAGACGTAATCTTCCTCGTCACGAACTTCCTCTTTCTTCAAGCCAACACACAGTAGATGAAACCAGAGTTCACATTTATCACATTGCACCCAGTTGACTGCCTCACCTGAGAAATATAAAGTAGTTCAGTCTAAAGAAGACATTTCATAAAGATGATATCAGAGAGACAATGTTAAAGATTTTCTTTTTTGAAGTAATGTCTGTATTTTATAAGATAAGATAAGGTCTCCATAAAAGAAAAAGGTTACAGGTATCATTTATCTGAATATTCTTGATCTCTTTTTCAAAGTGCATAGATTGTGCAATCTAAGTGAAGTAATAAAAAGGTTTTAAAAATATTTCTCCCCCCCCCCCCCCCATTAATTTGGTTGTCAAATCAATCTGAAAATGATCATGTTTTAAGGGTATGAGTATATAAATTTAATATATGTTTGTTTGTTTCTTTGTTTATATTGAAGTTTAAAAAATTTCTTTTCTTAATTTCTTGACTTTTGTTTATATTTTGTTTTCCTTTGATTTCATTCACTGTTTAAAAAGAGAAGTACAAGTGTTTTTTTTATTTAAATGACCTATGTTTCAAAAAAAAAAGTGTTCAAACCAAATCTTGCAAACTGTTTTCTCATACAAGTAATTATTATTCTCATCTTACTTATAAATTAAAAATATACTTCATAAAAAAAAGAAATATAAAATAAACTTTCCCCAAACTTACCAGTGGGACGCTGGCATTTGTAGGCTGAGCAGTCCTCATCATTATCATCACTGTCATCCATCATGACCAGTTCCTCCTTTATTTTCCTCTCTTTCCTGACTTTAGGCCTTCTCTCTTTTGTCTTGACACTAGTGCCATTTGTTTTCTGACCATCTGACCACTCATTAGTGGCAGGAGTTGTGGATGGTGGCGGGCTAGAAGTGGAGCCAGCACTTTTCATGAGTTTCCTTTTCTTCTTGATTTTGGCTTTCACATCTGTTCCAGGTGTTATCCCATCACCAGTATCCTTAAGTTTTACTGAAACAAGATTATATTGGTTAGACGTGATCAGCAAGTCTTTCTGTTGTGCCTGTTTCCATTAGTGTGCTTGTTTGTGAAATGATTTGCTAAGTTTTTTAAATGACAGTTGTAAAACAACAACTAATGCTCTCTAGCCACATTCACTGTTTAGTTTAATGAAACCTTCAAGTCTAATCACATTCTTTATCAAAGGGGGAAACTTTTAACATGTCCCTGCATTAGAACATAATGTGGCCAACAGATACTATTTATACAAAGAATTAGTCAAATAACATACACAAGTTCAATAAGTTGTTATTAAGAAGAGTGTGATAGACAAAAGAATAGACAACTGACCCAGATAAATGTTCAAGTCCGGGGCAACAAAAATGGTAATTTTAAGCCAGATTTGAAGATAATTCTGGTCCCAACCAATTATAAAAATTAGCAAAAATATATAAAATATCCCAGCTGTCATTTGTATTTCTTTACTACAGCTGGCTGGCCACATAACATATAGTTAAATGACATTCCCTTAATTATATTGCATTGTGCTTTTTTTTTTTTTGGGGGGTAATTCTCAGATCAACCAACGACACAATCTGCTGCAAGAAACTGTTGCCTACATAATTGTGTGATTGTAGAAACTTACACTTCAGAAAATCTTTATTGTCCCCAGCATTTTCCTTCTTTGTCTTCTTCTGAAGTTTCTTCTTCTTAATAATTCTCTCCACGCCATTCTCCACTTTGATTCTTTTAATCATCAAATCACTCAGTTTGTTTTCACCCAGATTCTTCTTTCTTTTTATCTCTTTGCTCTTTAGAATGCCATCTTTCTTTTTCATCTCTTTCTTCTTCTCATACAAACCTTGACTAGAAATCTGCAACAAAATAACAGAGAAAGTCAGTGTTATACAACAAACACCAATACACTAACAAATAACTGTCTCAATAATTACTCTGAATGTTACACTCACCTCCATGTCTGAGAACCTATTGGGCTCAGACCTTGAATAGCAGGCCTGCAATATTCTCCAGATATGTTGGGTTTCATCTAGAGACACCTCCAGCAGATCCCCTTCCATCATCAGCTCTTCCAGCTGAGCTCTCTTTGTCTCTGCTACATCAAGTAAGGGCACTTCACAGGTTCTGGGCATCAATGGAGATTTGCGCATGTTTTTACGCGGTGAGCCGTCTGTAACAAAACATGGTAGCATTACCATTCCTGCACATGAATGAAATATAGATACACCTTTATTCTGGTTTTGTGAATATAAAAAATAAACAAGAATCTGCACTTTGAACTTTTCAAAGAAAATTTTTTTACTCTTTACATAACAAATGCAATAAAAAAACAACAAAAAAAAAACAACTATTTTTTTTTTGTTGATAAAGCAGAACCAAACTGCTCATGTGACTAACAATAAAGTGAAAATCAGTAACAGTAACCTAATCTAATGTGTATGTATTATATGAGATTTAATACAAAAATTTTTGTTACCAAGTATGTTCACTGCAATAACTTACTGGCTACACCTTTAGAGACAGAAGAATAAGCATGTTCAGAGGACATGCCCAAAGATGACACAGATGAAATGTCTATCTCCGCACCAATGTCCTGAGACATGGGGTTGGGAGCAGGGATCAGGGTCTGGTGGAGAGGCGACATGTCCCCAGGGGTAGGTGAAACAGGATCATCCATGTTCACCCCGACCCCAGCTTCCCTTGAGGAATCAAAGTCTCTGTTGTGACGCTCATCAGCGTAAATCTGATGATGTTTGGCTAACATGGACATATCCTCAGTGCCTCCATGTTGCAGTAAAGACAGAGCAGAGTTATCCCTGTTGCCAAAAGCACTCTGTGTCACAGAGGCCAAGTGAGGTTGTAGTTCAGGATTGTTCGCTGCCTTCTGTAGCTCAGCATTGATAATTTTTTCAGTCTTTTCCCGAGCTGCCTGCTCAACCATTCTCTGACTCATTACACTCAGTTGCGCCATTGCGGAGGCCATATCAGTCGTAGTTAGCACTTGTCGGGCTCGATCCTATAAACAATTCATAAAAACTTACTTAACTCTTAAACATGAAGAAAAAAATAATTACAACCTATTAGTACAATAAAATCTGGGATTTTAATTAAATCAGAAAATCTTTTTTCTTTTCTAAGGATCTTGTATGTTATA